TCAAAATGTCATTATAGAAAAAGGACTACGTAACATCCGAAGGACTACGTATTAAGCATACGTAGAACCAAAAATTGCATATAATTCTAGCCTAACATTTTAACACTACATAATTATTTGTTAATTTTTTTGTTTTTTTTTACTAATCACATGTTTCGCTTATTGGTGATAATGATTAGAGAAAAAGAAACAAAATAGTTCTTTGTGAGTTATTTCGGAAACTCCGAAGCTACAAAATTTTGAAAAGCAAACTAATATAATTACAGAATGTATGTAACCAAATATTTTGATGGATCTGTGGATCGGTTACCAAGGTTCGACGCAATTAAAGATTTTCGCCATGTACTTTCAAATATATACAACTAAATAATGTCTAATGTACAATAAGTTGTACATATCACATGATAAAATGAATTTTTTAAGCAATTTTTTTTTTGAAGGGTTATTAACGTTAAGAACAAACTGGTACATAAATACTAAATTCGTACTTAAAGGGTTTATATAAATCACGTGCGGAGTGTAAAATTCCATATTAGGATGTATCTGGGCACCGCATATGGACAATTGTTTAGTTATATTGTCTTAACACTATAAGTCCATTCACTATTATATACATTATTATACATTTAAAAACATGTGTAAGTTGTTTTAATTTGAAACAAATCGGCGTGCACCAAAAAAAAGTTTCCTGCGTCTTTAAAAATCGCCTTTGTTTTCAATTGACAAAGAAAATTAAATCCTGCCTATCATATTTTTAAATATTAACAACTTTATACTTCTATTGGTAACATCGAATTTTAGGTTTTCCGGATAGTCTCCCATGACTCTTTGGTAAAATTATAGAGATACAAAGTGACAAATCTGTATTTCATATAGATAGTTTCTTGAAAGTAGATTATCAATATAAAAGTTCGACATTTTTTGCTATTTCACCTCATAACGTACTTCGCTTGCTAGTTTCTATATCATATAATTTTATCAAGTCGTCTTAAAATGAACAAATTATCAAAGCATCCTTCCGAAAAAACGAGACTACAACGATCGTCTCAACAAATCTTTTTTCGTCTTTCATTTTTTTTACCTTTAATTCTTGGATTTTTCATCTACCGTTATATAAATTCAGGACCTTTCTTACCGTTATCTTGTCAACTATTTAATTTGAGATGCCCTGTAGCCAAAGATACAGTAAGAGGTTTTGTGGATCCTAGGTTTAAACAAGTTAAAGAAATTTTTGAGAAAAATATTGAAAGTGGAGAAGAAGTTGGTGCATCCGTTACAATTTATTATCAAGATAAAGTTGTAGTTGATTTAACCGGAGGGATTGCTAATATTGAGACTGGTAAAATTTATGATAAAGATACACTGCAACTTGTATTCTCATGTACTAAAGTATTGGTAAATAATATTTATTAGCATTATTTTAAATTTAATTTGAGATAAAATTGTTAACGAATAATTGTTTTTATTCTG